CTGCGACGTGCCCTGCGTCCCGCTCGGGCTGGCCGCGTGACTGCGCACGCTGGGGAGCCCCGCGCCCCGCGGTTTCCTTGGTGATATGCAAAATAGCTGGTTCCTGGGGCGGGGCCTGGCCCGGCGTACCGCCCGCTGTTGCTAGGGGACATGTTTTTCAGGTTGTTAGGGCACCGCTAGCATCTCTAACGGAAAACGGCCATAACGAAACTTGTGATCTCGCGTGATCTTCATTCCTATTTTGCATCTTCGCGTGATCTTCATTCCTATTTTGCATCTTTTTTTTTTTTATCAAAAGCCATTTTATTTTTACAAAACTTGCAAAAATTATAAACAAGGAAAAGTCCTGGCCAATAAAATGCACTTGTTAGGGTGTTTATATATAGCACCAGATATGTAATAAAAATGATATCTAACAGAAAGGTCACTTAAGAACTGATGAGTCCTTCAAATTACAGGCTCACACCTTCCCCAGTATATAGGTTTGTAACACTAAATATGAAAAATAATTTAACTTCACATTTTTCTTGATTGTGTCCGCCCACCATCACTCAATCTTCCCATCAAAGCTGCGGCCAGCCGCTCTGTCCACCCCTCCACCCTGCAGGGCCCTGGTTGTCATTGCACATTCACCTTATCTCGACGCCACAGTCACGGACTTGCACTCCACCCCAATGAGCACCATCCTTCTGGGGACTTTGCTGGGCTCTGAACTGCTCAGAGGCAATGGGGGCGTCTTCCGTAACCCGGCCTCACCCCCACCCCAGCCACCCTCTCCCACCCAGGGCCACCCCCTGCACTGTCACCATGAGAGACTGTTCCTCTCTGTCATCCCCAACTCCAAACCCCCTGCCTCCGGCACACAGCCCCACCACCCCCATCCCTCCGGCGAGTTACAGCCCACAACCACCTCCCTCCCACGCAGTCACTGAAGCACACACATGACTTTATTTAAACAATTTATCAATTTTTATTGACTGTCAAAAGTATCAGACAGGTCTAGGCTGCCCGGACTGTGAGCGGGCTTGGTGCCCTAGGGCCGAAGCCCGGGGGCACAGGGCATGTGGGACAACTAATCCCAGGGGGGGGCCACCTGGGAAATGGTGGTTGTCCCGAAGAAGCCGCTCAGTAGCGCGTTGTTGTGGATTGCCATGTCAACGAGCTCCGGGGTGATGCACCTGCGGCCGGTCTTCTGGGCCTCTTCGCCCGCCAGCTCCAGGACTTTAGCGGTCAGGTACTGGATGATGGCTGCCAGGTAGACCGGTGCGGACGAGCTCAGGCGCTGGGAGTAGTGGCCTTCTCGCAGGAGACGCTCAATGTGGCTCACGGAGAACGCCAGCTCAGCTCTGGCGGTGCGGGAACGGGTCCGGCTCCGGCGACTGGACGACCCTCCACGGCCACCTCGCCCCGACATTCTGGATATTGGCTGCGGTTTCTGCGATCGGCTTAGCTCTGCAGTGCAGTGCGATGCTGTAATGTGCGATGCAGTGCAATGAGTCTGAAAATAACGTCCGAAAATAACGGTACACAAACTCAAATCTGTATCCTAGTGACCACGGACTGGCCCCTCATTGGTCGAGGCACACGCTCTGTGATGCGTGGCCCGTGATGCGTGGCCCGGGATGCGTGGCCCGTGATGCATGGCCGGTAATGCGTGGTTATGTCACTGCTTCCCACTGCCTCCCTCCATCCCCCACCCCCC